GACCCTTTCTCCATCGTACACGGATCTTGCACAGCTCCAGCCCACTGGTGCAGGAGCAGGGCTTCCAGCTGCGTGCGAGGAGAGAGGACTGAAGCGAGGTGTGTACAGACCTGCAGGAAGGGGATGCGCGTCTTGGTCATTCCCTCTAAAATCGTGGTCACAGCATGCGGGAAAGGTGTCTGGTCATCACTCAGTGCGTTTAATTCCAAGCCAAAGGCTACCTGGGGAGCAGGAGAGAAAAAGGCAGCAACTTGCTAAATCCTCCCGGCTCCCTGGGACTGGGATGAAAGAACAGGACAGCCTCACACCACCACCTTTTCCCCTAAAAATGCCTCAGGATACATCCTGCCTTGCAGGAGGCTGTGAGGGAAGGGTAGTATCTACGTTGTGCTTCCTCCTTGTTGGGGGGATTAATAATTTACTATTACTCTCCATTCATCCCAAACTGTTTTGCATCAAGAAGGGAAAAGCCAGCACAAAGCAGACTTCACGCTGACATATAATGGTAATAATACATCCCCACGTGAACCAGCACTGGTGTGCCCCTTTGGGCACAGAGGGGTGGGAGGTATGAGGCTGTAAGGGCTTTTGCAAAGGGTCCCCATCCTGCAGGCCACACCTAGGCTGTGCAGACCCTTCCCTAGCTGCCTCTCGCTATGGCTCAGCCTGAATGCAAGTGGCACAATTAGTTCTTCAGCTCTTCTGGCACTGCTGGGTAAAGGTCTCGTTCCCTGGCTCTGGCTCCCGATCCCGTCCTGCTGCTGGTACCAGTTACTTGCAATCCTTCCTGCCAGCCGCAGAGGAAACAAGAAAGTGGACAGCTGGTACCTTTGCAATGATATCCAAAGTCACCCGGCTCATCATCGTCAGCATGCTAAACTCTTTTTTTCCATCTGCCTTTTCCTCTAGCTTCTTCATCAGCTCCTCTGCTTTTTCATTAAAAGTTTCCATCAGACCAATCAGGTAGCTGAACAATCAATAAAAATGAGTGATGGGGGCTCTGGAGAGGATGCCGTTGCGCAGGCAAAATTACCTTCATTATTTTCCATAGAGAATTGTAAAGATTTTTTTCTTATTTATAATAAATA